AGGTTCAGGATGCTTATTTGATCGACTCCACAGAAACACTGAACTAAAACAAATCCACCAAGTCACTTGAAACAACAAACAAACTTTTCAATCAATATCTGTTTCTAACAGTTTGAAAGCAGACATTTAAAAGATTTAAAGGATGATGCAAAATTAAAATCATTCTGGAAGCACCACTGATTATTTCTGTGTATTTGAAAAGTTGCCCTTCTAAAAGATAACCTTTTGTTTTGTCTTCTGCAGGTAGGCGTTAGTCAACAAACAATGGTTCAGCCCTACCACTTCAACACTCTGGGGATGCTAATTATTCTGCTTATTGTTATATATTAGTGTATTCTCCAAATACACTTGAGGCCTGTGCATTAACATGGGACCAATAGAGACTTCAGTAGCAATATGAAAACCACTCCAAATTTCACTTGAGTGCAAGAAGCCATAAAAGCACAAAGTGTCACTGCAGCAAATTCCTTCCTGCTGGACTCAAACGATCAAATGCTGATAGCAGAGACTTCAGCTCTCCATCACCCTCCCACGGTGCACGACTCCACGACTGTTTTAGCATCTCAACATCTTTCTGTTACAAATAATGCTTCAGTGCCTAACACCCTCATCCCCCCACCACCTCCACTGACTCTGTCACAGCGACCACGGAGGCCTCAACAGTGTCAGCTTCACCTCGGTCTCCCTCCAGGTTTTAATTGTCTTTATTTTAATGTGTATCAGGATGAGGTCATGCTCCATCCTTATTTATAACAGTGACCTCATTATTTATTACCTGTGTACCAAACCTAATGAAAAAAAGTGGTCTAAATCAAATCTTATTTTTCTCTTTGGTGATTGTTGAAAATGGTTAGTAATTGTCAAAAGGCCAGAATGTGGAAGTTTATTTTGTGAGACATTTTTCCGGAGGAGATGTTTGGACCAACATACACTCACTCAGTTACTTATCTAGTGCAAACCAAAGCAGCATCTCTGCCATAAAAAACGACTTATGAAGCTTTTACATTTTTAGGTTTTTTTTTAAAAAAAAAAAAAGAGAAAAAAAAGTTTTTTTTCAGGTCAGTGAGTGCTTGTGTACTAAACTAAATTCACGTGTTTCTGATGTTTAGTCCAACCCATAATATACATGAGAGGTGCAAAACAACTATAGTAAGATACGAAAACTCGCACTTTTGTGTGTTTTCCTACTGATATTTTTTAATGACCTGTTGTAGAAGCACATTAAACACATAAAACCTTAAAACATCAGCAGGGAATCTCACTTGTAAAACTCAGACGCAGCTGGTGAAATGAGATAATAATAAGTGTTGCTTTGATTTTAAAGACTGTTATTAAGATAGAGACAAGCTACTGACCTAAACGCTTTTTTGTACCCGATATTGCCTTAAATGCTGATGTAACAGAAGGACAACTGATTGTACTTTTCGTCCTTTTTTGCTCAAACTGTGTGCGTGACCAACAAGATTGTATTAGAAAAGGCTTTTTTATATGTGACAATCAGATAAAGTGCCTTCAGTATTTACTCTGACTATTTATCCGCCAGAACAGTATGATATAAAAAACTTGTACATTTTATTTTGATAATCTGACAGTTACGCTGCCCTATAGCTCCCTCTTGTGGTTGCTTATCGATATTGTTTTGGTATCTCAGGGTGGTAGAAGTATATATAGAAGCCTCTCTGGTACTGTTCTTAACTGGTTTTATTCCTATCTCACTGACCGATGTTTCTTTGTAAGTATGGATACGTGTTCCTCCAGAACCCATGGAATTAAGTGTGGGGTGCCCCAAGGGTCAATTTTAGGTCCACT